TCAGGTAGACCGGTCCTTGGAGGATGCAGCCTCTGACAGCACTGAAGCCGAGACACACAGTTGGTCGTGAGTGTTTAACATCACTGGTCACTTGCCCTCCCCATATCGATACTCTGACATCACTGGTATGGAGTCCTTTGCACCACTGGTACCAAGTCGCTGACATCACTACCACCGAGTCTATGATATGACTGGTACTAAGTCTCTGATATTACTCATTCAGACTCACTTAAAGAACTAGTAGCAAGTCTATAAGTCCAGCGTGACTAAGTCTCTGACACCACACTGGAATAACGATCTAGAAATGAGTAAAGATTTCTTAAATTAAGTGTATTTACCCTTAATTTGAGCAGGTAAATGAGATAGTTTGCCAATAGAATGTGTATTTTTACTCTTAAAATAAGATCATTAGATAACATGCACTTGAAATAAAACAATGCAATTGTGTTTTCCTATGTTTTCTTTGTTCTATTGGGAAAATGTCTCTTTTACCTCCTCAATCCAAGAACAAATGCCTTTATTTTAAGAAAAAATGACCTATCTAGATTTCAGGTTTTTTTCCAGTGCACTTGTGCAGCGTTTCAAGCTCCACTAGGACCTTACATCTCTGGTACAGAGCCTTTAACCTTACTGGTGCCGAATCCTTAACATCATAAGTCTCCTTGGCATGGCTGGTACTGAGTCTCTGACACCACTGGGATCTAATCTCTGTCTTCACTGGTACCCAGTCTCTGAAATAACTGGTAAACTGTATCTGACATCATTGCTACCATCGTCTGACAGCATTGGTACAGAGTCCCTTACACCACTGTGTTTTCAGCAATTCCAGCAAGAATTTCAGGTCCAGAAACAGCAAAGAAGACCAGACCATGACTGACTCCAGGTCAAAGACTCTGTTTCTTAAATTTTGATTTAATTTGGTTTATTTTAGTTTTATTTTAGATGCAATAGAGTGCTGACTTTCTATAATGGTCCAATTTTGTCTTGTAAGACCACATCATATTTTCGCAGTTGTCCAGACAACCACTAAGCTTTATTTATCATCATAAATTTAGGGTATGGTTCTGGTGCTATCCTTTGGAGCCAATTTTTGCCTAGTCTTTCTCCCTTTTTAGTAAATAATGACCCCTGAATTTAGCACCGACACTGAGGCCTGCAGAGCTTTAGATGTTGCAGGAACTCCTGGATGAATCCTGGATGAGCACTAGAAGTAATCCTGGAAGGTCAGTCACTGAATAGTGACTCACAAATACAAAGCAACAAAATAAACTCTCTTCATTTAACCCATCCCCTTGGGGTGCAGTGGGCTGCCATTGTGGGGCATGGCAGGGTCTTGCTCAGGGAACCAGGGTGGTAACCAGTGGGAGTGGGGCTTGAACTCAGAACCTCTGGGACCGAAGTGCAATGCTCTAACCAGTTGGCCACCTCAATCCCTGTTAGAGTGGTTCTCTGGAGGTTCTGATAAAATGTCAGTGTTTGTCTTAGGTTGAAAGGGGAATGTGTTTCAGGTTCCTATTCCCTGCTTCATGGTTGTCAGAGAGTAGGATGGCTCTGCTCTGTGCTGCTAGAACAGGACTAAACAAGCACCATTTCATCGTGAATGTGTCAGAACATCAGCTGTTCCTTATGTTTCTCTTCTGGTATGGCCTTGTTCAGGTCCAGGTTCCAGTCCGGTCCATAAAGCTACTTGGTTCTCTGTTTTCATAGAAACAGAATGAAGGTTTTCACTCACTGCTTGGTGTACCCCAGGCCTTCTTGGATGTGGTTGCATGTAAACAGAACAGGAGATATCAGATGAAGATAATCTGAAAACAGACGTGAAGGTTTCGGTTCTGAGTCACATCATGATCTCACATCATGTCAGAGGTTCCATCTTGGCTTGGTTGGTGCCAAAGACTCGATGCAGCAGAGAACCCAAGCTGAGCCCAGGTCTCTGTGGAGGGTCCCTCTTTGCTGCCTGTGGGGCTCCAGGGTCTCAGATGGTGTTTGGTCTTTGGGGGGCCCTCGGCATCTCTCTGGGGATGCTGTGGGTTCCTTGACTAATTCCAGTTGGACTCCTCAGTGAAACCTGATTGGTCACCAGTGAGGATCCAGTGGTCCTTGCCTATTGGACTCTCTGAAGTCCCCTAGGTGGTGCAGGATGCGGCCTGCTGCCTCTCTGACCTGGTTTCCAGTCAGGCTGTGACTCAGGTCGCTGAGAGTGCTGAGTTATCACTGCATGCTTTCTGTTTATGCGGCCCACGCTGCCAGCTCCACCGTGACCTGCTTCCATTCACAGCTTATCTCTGATCTCAACGACTTCCTGCTTGTTGCATCAGGCTGCAGCCGATAAATGCTCTCGTGCGGCTGGAGGGATCAGCGCTTAAAACTTGCAGCTCCTTTTAGGGACATTAAAGTGGTTTTGTTTATGACCCCGAGCTGCCTGAACTCAACTTTAAACAAACGCTTCTAGCCGACACCAGGAAGCAGCCTGTGGTAGTTTCAGAGAGTTTCACGATTAAAGGTAAAGTTCGGTAATGCAGGATGTCCTCTTTTATTCTGACAATACAAACCTGCTTATCACATAGAAAAACTGCTCCATGCATTCATTCCTTCATTTCTTACCATCAGAGAGTTCAGCTAAAAGCATCCAGCAGATTCAAAACCCTGCAGAAAAATGTCTAATAAAATTAAAAAGTTGCTATGATTTATTTTCCTTCCTTTCATTGGTTTCATGGTAAATCTAGAATAGAAAATCTAACTATGTTCTTTTTTTTGTGCACTTTTTCAGATGATTTTCATGAACAAAGAGTAAAAGAAACATTCAAACATATCTATAGAAACACCTAAACTGAACCTTTGTAAAGACACTTAGAAGAGCTCTCGGATGTTTCTGCCGTTTCATCTGACACCTACTGATGTAAATTCTGCTGACTGGATCTGATCTGGAACGGAAAACAACTGTCTACACGATGCCTGGCTGCAGACAGAGCAGAAAACAGACTAAGACCAGGTTCCACGAATCTGGATGGAGAGGAGGTAAGAATTAAATATCAACGACAGAAGCGTGTCAAAAAGGTCTGTGGTCTCCATTATTTGCAAGCAGAAGAAGTTCTTGATGAGACCAAGAAAGCAGTGGTTCTGAAAAGCAAAACTTCTGGTCTCGTTCTTGAGATGAAAGAAGCATCTGGAAGGTCAGCCATTAGATAATCAGATCAGGAGGAACATTCTGTT